GGGCCCGGTTTTGAATACAATTCTCTGGGTGCGACCCCCTCCCGTCCATGGTTAGAATCGGCGCCCGCCGCCACCTGCTCGCTCCCAGGGCCAACCTCGGCCCCAAGTCGGCCCAAGACCGCCCCGAGACGGCTGCACGAATGATGCCCGAAGACTCACCCAAAACGACTCAAAAGACCCTCCAAGAGCCCCATCAATCCCTCAAGAAGTCCTGGAAGGCACAAGCCCCCGATATTATCCGAGGCAGGTCTCACGAAAGGCATCGGTATGCTAACAGAAGATGCTCGCGGGACCGTACACAAAACTGCTCGGGGAGAGGAGCGACGGCTCGGGACACAACGATCTCGATATCATGCCCGTGCGTCTGGCGAGATGCCAGTCGGCACGCGGAGCGGGAAACCACGTGGTCTGGGACCCGTTTCTCTCGGGACCCGTTCCCGGATCTCCCACGTCTTAGATTTTCAGTGCGGGGCCCCCAAGGCTCTCGACACGCCCGAGGGACCGGTTTCCTTCCCGGATCCTCGTTTTCGGAGCTGCAGGGCGAGTTGAGACAAAGGCATCTCTGACTCGGTCCCTGGACTCCTCCTGGGGTCCATACGCGCAATTCGTTCGAGATGCGCCCAGCCGTAGCGACGAGGGGCCCCCCCGAGGCCAAGTCCCGTGGCCTCATCAAATCGCCCTCCTCGGACCTTTGACGACCCCGCATGCCGAAGGGGCCCCAGGCCGAATACTGCGACAAATCTCTGCTTTGTTTTTCAAGGCATCGGAGGCCGGCCGGGCGGCCTCGCTGACGGACATCCAAGACAGCGACATCTTCGACGGCGCGGTGACCCGTTGGGACCACAAGGGTCTCTTCCTGGACGTCGTCTGCTTCTTTGAGGCCCTGCTGCAGGCCGACTGGGACCAAATGTTCAGGCTCGCTGGGAGAGATCACCTCTACGAGGTCCCACGAGGAACGCGATCAGCATGTACAGCAGGAACATGTGCGACTGACAGCGGCTAACGATCTCACAGCCCCGCGGCCACAAGGTGGTACCGCAGCCGTACGGCTGTGACGGCACCTGCGCAGTGCGGGCGGGGCTCGTGGGGGTCTCCACGGGCTTTCAGGGTCGCGAGGCTCGCGGCTACAGGGGGCCTCGCATTCCTAGCATTTTGCTCAAATATTCTTTCCTGCCCACCCATGCCACCTGGCCCTCAGTGGGCTAACTTCCGGCGTGTCTGGCCAGCAAGGTGCGTCTTCCTCCTCGTCGTCCTCGTGGCCGTCGTCGTCGTCCTTCCTCTTCTCCTCTGCATGGTATCCTTGCTGGCCAGAGGGGCTTTACAGCCGCGTCTTTTGAAGCTTGCCCTCCTGTGCCGCTATCACTAACTTAGGTTTCTATTGCAAGCATCGTTGAGGCCTGTTCTTCACTTCCGTTCTTTTTGGGAGCAGGCCCCACTGCCTTCATAGTGTCGACTGTCGTCCGCTGTGGAGCCCGACTGTTGTCCGCCTTTCTTGTACACACACTTGTGTCACCCATGGAGTTGCATAGAATGGCACGTGGATCGCCTACGGCTGTATCCCTCATTACGCGTCCTCGGGGTAGGTGTGCTTTTGGTCGTGCCAGCGCCGCTTGCTTTGGAGGTGGAGCTTGGAATGCTGGGCAGGTTTCTGGCAATATCTATTTAAGTTGTTTTTTGCTTGGTGCATTTCCTCGTGAGGGCGAGGCTGAATGGTACGGCTTCCTGGGTCTTTTTCATGTTCATTCCCAGGCCCCGGCCCTCCCTGCCCCCACACGCGGGGCAGGGACACGATGGGGGCGGTGCGGCACGGGAGCCCGGGCGGGCTCCGCACTCTTGTGCAGAGTTGTTCCGATTTTGGCCCTTCCGCACGCGCCTCCGGCCCATGCCGGACAAGGCGGCATGGGGAGGTTGCCCGCAGCCTGCAGCTGGCACCGGGCTACGACCACAACCTTCGGAAATGGTCCGGCTTAAGGTCGGGAACTGAAGGTGAGGTGAGTGGACATGCAAATCGGAGGAGGGCCAATCGAGACAGCGGCGGCCGTGCCTTGCGCTGTTCGTTCGCTGGGCCTCCTGGAGGCCTGGGCCTGGGGAAACCAAAAGGTACGGATACTGCTTCTCCACGACCTCTCTCGGGGTCCGTTCTGACCAGGATTTCGAAGCGAATCCATCGGTGGTGACGAAGGCCTCCAGGAGGCCCGAGAGGCGAAAGCGAGGGAGGGTTAGCGGAAATGGTACCTTCTCCTCCTTGGACTGTCTGGGCCTCCTGGAGGCCACCAGTGGTCTCCTTCACGGCGGCTCTCCCCGCCCCGAGAGGGGCACGGTCTCCGTTTTGTCATGGCCCCAGGGACCGAGACTGTAAAAAATGAAAAACCAAAAAAAAAAAAAAAACATGCCCGAATCCAGATCCTCGAACCTGACCGCCCTTCCTGATGGCCGTAGCCAGTGCCCGGCCACCTCAGGCCCCCAGACGGCTCCGAACGGCGGCCTCGCCTCAACGTTT